CTGTCTGCTGTTAGTTTGTTTTTTGTCATTTCTATTGATTTATTTTATTTATCAATGTTTCTTTGAATTGTAATTCATTGATCTCTTTCAATAGTGCAGGTTCGCTCATGTAACCTAATCTCCCACTTATGTATGTATGTATGTATGAGCTCAGTCGAAATGTTTTTGAGTGGAAGGCAAGCTGGTGATAGTAATAGGCAGCAGCGGCTGAACCTTGTCTTGAATGGAAGTGTGACAAGTGTGAAGTTAGCGGCAGCTATATTGTGGTAGGCAGCCAAATTGTCGGCTGTGGCACATTTTGACTGGGCTGATTGTGTGTAGTATATATGTGCAATTCTTTTAGGGTGTTAAACAGGTTAAAGTACCAAGAAATCCTCTGTGATAACTTGATAATTCAAGATGTAAAAATTTTAAATAATAAGGTAAAGCTTGATCATTCTTAAGAGTTTCCATTTGTTCTGGAAATTTGGGGGAGGGTCAGGGGAGCATTATTTATACATAAATAATGTACATAAAAAGTAAAAAAAAAGGACCAAGGTAAAATCCCAATTTGTTTTAAGAGTTAATTTTATTAAGAGAAAACCCTGGATATAGCTTGGGATTTGTGTGATTTTCAAAAATTGTTAGGAACCTTGTTAATTTTCAGCTTCAAGAACACAAGTACATAATCTTTAGTGCAGCCCTCTTTTCTCCCCGCCATTATTCTAATTTTTTTTATCAAGTTTCCTTTTTCTTGTGTTCAATTAATTTATTATCTTTACAGGTGAAATTTTAATATCTGCTAGCACAATTATCTCTGCTAAGAGTGTCTACCATCACTCTTGCCGGTCTCAAGCCCAAAACGCTGCAAACTAGCTGAAACTACATGTATTTCGTAAAATTGCAATGAAATCTATCTAAAAACACCAAAATCCGGCAGAACGCACGAGTTTTTGCCAAATTTTACGCAAAAGTTGACAAAAGCGCTCAATTCGACCTAAAAACACTTTTTTTTTTTTTGCAAAAATCAGCCTATTTTACATTCAAAAGCACGATGTCTTTAACAAAATAGGGATACAATCCATGTGAAAACACTTATTCCAGCTAAAACGCAGTGTTCTCAGTAAAATTTGGGGAAAAAACGCGTAAAAACCGTCAGAAACACGACAAATTGGGCTGATTTTACCCACTTTTTGTGTAAATAGCTGCCAAAACCCTCAAAACTAGCTGGAACTACATGTTTTTCACAAGATCGCCATAAAATCTTGAAACGTTGCTTTAGGGACCTTTATGCCTCCAAAACGAGTGTTTACTTTAAAAAAAAAATGGAATGAACAAAGATGTTAAAGGGGAAAAAGCTGTGAGAAAGGAGAAGTTTAGTGTTGCTGTTTGATATGCCGCCCAGATATATCAATTTATTAATTTAACGCCTTTAGCCGTGGGCAGAAGTTTTTCTCTAGACTAAGAGGACCCTCCCTATGTTGACGAACCTCAATAATTCGTTGATTTTACTGTTTTTACACAGATTTGATTTTAACCATATTCGCCAAAATAACTGCCAAAACACGGCAAACCAGTATCTCGGCCAAGAGCGATATTGGCCATTTCACACATCCTTATTAGATATGAATTTTATTAAAGATTGTCATTCTAGCATATGTTGGCTAGTTACCACAGCTTTCTTGATTTTCATGGGAAAGTGGCATTGGTTGGTACCATGACCAATCTCCTCGACTTTCCCATGATTTTCATAGGATGTTAGCGACCCATACTTCGAACCTCAGTTGGGCTTATTTTTATGGCTAATCCATCGGCGACTTTCTCATGATTTTCTTGGGTTCTCAACAGTGACACGCACTTTGGAACCATAATTTTATAAATATGTCAACACTGGCAAATACTGCTAAAATCTACACTCTACTAAACTCCATGTACCACAATATCCACACAACTGCGTGTGCCTACTTGAAAATCCTAACCCTAACCCTAAAACTATCCAGTTAGCCTAGTATTGTATTGCTGGTTTGAGTGACTAAACTGGCTCAAATGATCCAGCTGCTTAAAAATCTAAGCACAGAGTAAGTTTAAAAGATTCAGTTTTGTAAGGTTTCGAAACAGTTCCAAAATTAACATGCACATAGCTCAGTGTAAAACATCGAAGCTTCTAGGACTTCTTATGATTCCTACGAACGTACACACCTAATGCACGTCAATTTGCCTTTGTTGTCCTCGAACGATCACGTCTTCATGGTAACGTGGTGTAAGAACTGTACAGCACTTTATATATATATGTTTTACTTGACGGTAAAAGTTTGAATCCGTACAAGGAAACGTAACGGAAACAGGCGACGATAATATTCCGTTGACAGAAATGCAACGGAAACGTGTCGTCATATTTCCGTTCAGGAATCATAACGGAAACATAACAGGTCCAAGGAAGAAGTGAATGATGTGGAAACATAGAGTTTCATTTTTCCGAATTACGGAATCATGCTATTTCGTCCTGTGCTCACTCTAACTCTGTGCTATCCTAAACCTAACCCAAACCCCAAACCCCAAACCAATCCTAAGCTATGGTAAAGGGTTTAAGTCAGGGTTGAGGATAGGGTTAGGGCAGGAGCCCATTACCTGGTTAGGGTTAGAGTTTGGGTTGCTTCGGGTCAGAGGGGATTAGTGTTACAATCAGGGTTAGGGCTAGGGTAAAATTATGCTTAGGGTTAGCGGGGTTTAGTGTTAGAATTAGGGTTAAGGCTAGGATGAGGCTATGCTTAGGGTTGGCGTTAATATTTTTCTACAAGCATTCAATTGCAGGGTTTTTGGTATTGTGTTTGTAAATTTCAGTAACTACTTGAAAGTTTACTGAAAAACAAACGATAGGCCGACTGGTACACTTACAGGATAGATAGAGAAGGTTGGGGTTAGGGTTAGGGTTAGGGTTAGGGTTAGGGTTAGGGTTAGGGTTAGGTCTAGGTCTAGGTTAAGGGCTATAGGTTAGGGTTTAGGGTTTAGGGTTAGGTTTTAGGGTTATGGTGTGGGGCTAGGGTTAGGGTTAGGGTTAGGGTTAGGGTTTAGGCTTAGTGTTAGGGTTAGAGGGTCTGCGGTTGAGGTTAGAGCTAGGGTGAAGGTTTGGGGTTAGGGTTTGGGGGTAGGGCTAGTGTTTAGGGTAAGGGTGTAAGCCTCTTCAAAAATATTTTTAAGAAGATTTTGTCACCTTTTTCACTTAAATAACCACCTGAAGAATTTTCACCAGTTAGATTATTTGAAGCGGTTGGATTAATTTTGATTGGGGTTTAATAACTTTTAGTAGTTGGATGATTATTTTTACCAGTTGAACCACTGTAATATGCTGGATCTTTTTAACTAATGTTACCATCCTTACCTGAATTATTTGAACCAATTTCACTGGTTACACATGCATTATCCAGTTAGACCATTTCAACTGGTTGGATTATTTAAACCAGTTTGTCCATTTTAGATATTGGCATCATTTTATCAAGTTGGATCATGTTAACCAGTCGCACTATTTTACTAAGTGAGATCGTTTCTTCTGATTGGACCATGTCACGTAATTAAAATCTTTTCACCGTTTAAACCATTTTATCTTGTTTTGGCTGGTTGGACCATGTTAACCAGTTGCACCATTTTGACTGGAGTGAAAAGTTCCGTTCTTAACCCGAGCCCTAACCCTAACCCGGGGTTAGGGTTAGGGTTAGGATAGCTCGCAGCTAGAGTTAGGGCTTGGGTAGGGTGGGATTATGATTAGGCTGAGGGTCACAATTTTTTCTGAAAACATCCAATTTTTTTTTTGGTATTGTGTTTGGCTCTAAACTTAAACAACTACTTGAAAGTTTGCTTGAAATCAAAATATACCATTTTTTGCCAAAATAACTGCCAAAATGCGCAATTCGGGCCTTTTTATCAATTTACACTTGGTTTAAGCTTGGTTTTTGTGTTTTCCCATTTCCCAAATTTTGCAAAAATCGTACATTTCTGCCGTATTTTGGAGTTTTTAGACAGATTTCGTCGCGATCTTGTGAAAAACATGTAGTTTCAAGCTAGTTTTCAGTGTTTTGGCAGTTATCTTGGCAAAAAATGGGTAAGTCAGCGCAATTGTTTTTTTTTTGGTTTTTAAGGTTTTGTTTGCCCAAATTTTAATGAGAACACTGTGTGTTAGCTTGTCTCCATTGTTTTTTCGCAGATTCTATTGCTGTTTTGCTGAAAACATAACGTTTAAGCTTGTTTGCATCGTTTTTGGTCGTGAAATAAGCTAATTTTTGCAAAAGGAAAAAAAACGTGTTTTTCAGCCCAAATTGACATAAAGGATACAGAAGAACATTTGCTTATTGCCTTTTTTTTTTGTCCTTACTCATGAAGTTGATTTTGGCATTTCAAACAAAAACTCTGCTAGAGCATTAATTGAATGACATATCATGCACTTACTTTGAAGCAAGAACACTTTTTTTTTAATTCAGAAAAATACCTTTTTATTTTTTTTAAGGACTGCTGGATATAACCTGTACAACCAAGATGAATTTACATTCATTATTTGTCATAACTTACACTAAATTAGAAATTCAAGTATGAAATGAGGGTACTAGCCCTTTAATAGTGTTCAAAATTTCCATATGCAGGGGTACTTGTGGCTACTGGAGAAGAATCAGTCTTTAACCCTTCACCCCCCCCCAAGGGAGATAATAAGTACAGATATCCTCTTCCCTAGGGGCAACTAGCTCAAAAGTGAGTGATCTCAAGGGCCCTCCAAAAACGTTTTCTACAGCAATAACTAAGCTCTACAGAAGCACACTATGCAGACAAAAGGTGTAAGAGAATCAATGAATTCTTTAATTCTTGGTCCCTCCCAGGCCAACCTATTGTACAAATCTCATGACATCTGTTCCAGTTTCATCAGTCAATTTTTCAAGCTTTTCCTGCAATTATGTACTTGTTCTTGAAGCTGAAAATTAACAAGGTTCCTGTAAATTAAGTTTACATAACCTAACAATTTGTGAAAATCACACAAATCCCAAGCTATATCCAGAATTATGCTCTTAATAAAATAAACTTTTAAAGCAAATTGGGATTTTGCCCTAGTTCTTTTTATTTTTTTGTTACTTTTTAAATACATTTGTATAAATAATGCTCCCCTAACTCTCCCCAAAACTTTTAGAACAGATGCAAACTCTTAAGAATGATCAAGCTTTACCTTATTATTAAAAATTTTTACATCTTAGACTACCAAGTTATCACAGAGGTTTTTTTCGGTACTTTGACCTGTTTAACACCTAAAAAGAAGAACACATTCATAACACACACAATCAGCCAGGTCAAAATGTGCTGCAGCCAACAATTTGGCCACCTCCAATGAAATAGCTGCCAATTTCACACATGTCAGACTTCTATTCAGGACAAGATTTGGCCTCTGCTGCCTATTACTATTGCCAGCTTGCCTGCCACTCAAAATTTCAACTGAGATTGTACATACATACATGTGGGATTAGGTTACATGAGCGAACCTGCACTATTGAAAGAGGTCAATGAATTATAACTCAAAGAAACATTGAGAAATAAAATAAATCAATAGAAATGACAAAAATTAAACTAACAGCAGACAGCACTTTTTTGGCCTTCGGGACCTGATCAGTGCAGTGATCTTCAACTAAGTGCTTAATTTGGACATAAAACCAAAACTTGTTATGGTTAAATATTATTATTTTTCTTTCAATATTCCCATTCCAGCTGATGTATATTATTTGAATAACAAATCTTATTAGCATGTTAAAATCACCTGAGGACAAGGCATACACTTTGTGCCAAAATTGCTTTGCATCAAGTACGTTATCTAGTACATCATTACCATCTTCAGGTATTTCTAATTTACTCTTGAAAATCACACAAATCATAAGCTATATACAGCATACAATTGGCAGCAAATTATTAAAAAGGAATGCAGTAATCTTTAATAATAAGATTACTTATTAGCTAAATAACAAATAGCCTAGTCAAAATGTGCCGGTAACCAGGGATTTGGCTGTCCATACAGAACATTTGTTAGACGTCTAGTCTGGACAAGGTTTGGTCTCTACCTTCTGTTACTATAGCCAGCTTGCCTACTTCTAAAAAACGTTTTGACTAAGCTGAAAAAAATGTTTGAGAGAAAAATGGCCACAACAAGCCCACTTACTGCAAAATAAGAAACATAAAAGTAACACTTCAAATTAATACAGAATATAAGCCTTGCAGGATTTGGCTCTCAATAAAATTAGTTAAAATAGCCGATCTTGAGTTTAACTACTCACTCAAAATGGGCTGACAGCCTGCAATTTGGCCACCTACGATGAAGTATCTTCCACTGACTTCACACCTTTCAGACTGCTTTTCAGGATGAGGTTTGGCCTCTGCTGCCTATAATTACAACAGCCAGCTTGTCTACTACTAAAGAACATTTTGACTGGGCTGTGCAAGTGTTACTAGCATATAAAAAGCACCTTCAGGTAGATTACAGCAAAGCAGACTTTGTACCAAAACACTTTGCATTAAGTACATCATTACCCTCCACAGGTATTTCTAGTTTACATGTGAAAATCCCACAAATCTCAAGGTATATTACATCATACATGTTGACAAAGCAATCAGGGGTAAATTTTTCATAATAGGATGCAATGGTCTTCAGTATCAAGATTATTTGGTACCTAAATAGTAAAATGTTCGAGAGAAGAAATAATCATAAACATTTTTTCTTTCTCATCAGCATCGACTTCCAAAAGTAATGGATAATGACCACCTAAAACAAAGAAGAAATAAATCAAATTTGTGATTTCACAGGGCTTCAATACGAAACAACTATACATATCTTTTATTTCCTACCACTTACAAGTGGCAGGAATGGCTGAAATGGCCTTCACGTGAACACAACAGAATCCTATGCGTGTGTAACCATGTAGAACTATTTATTCGGTATCGAAATTACATCCCAAATGTCATGATATTTGACTGAAACTCAGCTTACCCATCTTTCGTTTAGACTTCGAAACTTGCTGCTTTTTACCACCGTTTCAATGTTTTCTTGTTGTTCAAAAGGTGGTAGGGCCATTGCAGACCGTGATTTTTTTTTTACTTGAGAACCAGATCACAACACCCAAGCCTTTTCACGCTAAATATTAAACTACTGAGATTTCCTTCGCCGCCGTAAGCCGCCATTTTATCTTTCCATGAATACTAGTTCCCAAGCTTCGAGCCCGAAGGTCTCAGACATGCACTGAAATTATGATATTCGTTATTTCAGGGCCAATTTAGAAATAACGATAATCGTTATTTTGGTGTCGAGATCATGCTGATCACAACTGAACGCACATTTACCCCTTTCCTCCGCCATCTTGAATGTTGTAAGACAGTGGAACCGAGTCCTTCTCTTTATTTAACACGTGTAAAGAGCATTGGTAAAGAGTGCCACGAAATTACTATATCCATAAATTTGGTGCCAATTTAGAAATAACGATAATCGTAATTTCGGTCTCGAGATCATGTTGTTTGAAGAAGGATTAAATAAACGCTGACATGGAGAGCCAAATCTACAGACGCACCGCAGACGAGAAAACATTTTTGCCATCAGCATAATAAGATGTCGGTGTTCGTTGAGTAGAAAGAGGTCTTTTCTCAACCGCTTACATACGAATTTAATTAGCAACAAATTAACGCAAACAAGCTGTAAAAGTAGGGCCCAGTTCAGATCCGACTACGAATACGAGTACGATTTTTGTGCGCGGGAGACCTAGGGCTTAGCTGCTACAAACACAATTGTCGCCGTCGTCAGGTCGCGGCAAAAATGTTTCAGTACTTAATGTGAGAACGAAGTGGCAACATTTTGTCAGTCGTGGAAACGTTTAGCAGACAAACCACACAAGATGCTCTGGCATTTATGTTCACGGAGGATGTCATCGATGAAGTCGAGTTTTCGATGCTTTTCGAAACGGTAAACAAGAAAAATCCATCCTTTCCCTACTGGTCGTACGATCGCTTTGACTTGAATCGCGTCACAGACGAAGAATGCAAGTCAGCCAGTTGTTGCACCTAATGGGATGATAGCTAACCTCTATGGCCCAGTTGGTGAGACATTTCATATGCATGATTTAACTGTCGATCAGTAATTTATTATATTGTTATATTTAGCCACAAGTTAAGGTCCTTGTTGACATACTTATTGCATTCAGTTATTAATTGACAATTATAATTTCGTCCACTATCTCTTTTATTCTTTCCCACATACTGCAGCAATTTAATATGGTGGATTCCCAAGTTCTTCAACCTGGAAGGCATGCGAAAACTGGTTCGAGAAATTTGAGTTTGAGTTCGAGGAATCGGGAGTAAAAATCCATGTTTGAATGAAACAAATCCAAGGGAAACAACTTTTGGTTTGAGTCATCAGGATGTTCTGGTGTGTAGGAAAATTTTAGAAAAATATCTACAAACATAACTAAAACAAATTAAAAAAAAGGAATAACAGCTTAATTTGGAACTGTGCACAACTAATTGTAACGTGGTTTTAGCAAATAACTCTCTATATTTTTTGTTTGTTTGTTTGTTTTAAATGTTTTTTTGGTTAATTTCGTGGCAATAAGAGGAAAAAAGTACTGTTCATCGAGTATTGCAAATACCGATGTTTATTGCATAGTCTCCGAACAAGTTTAAGAATATAGCACCTTCAATTTACCCTGTTTAACCATTCGCAGGTATTTTCTTCTCTCTTTCCACTCCTGGCTTTCTTTTTTTAGATCTGAGTCTGATTTTTTAGCGGACAATTTTGCAATAAAGACAAGAATACTTCCATTATTCCATACTGTGTATGCCATTTATAAATTATATGTTCTAACTGGCTAAATCTGGTGACACGAAGATAAACAGATTGGGCCATGTAATTACAATGCTAGTACTTTTCACTTCGATCAATTACTCACTTTAGTATCGTAGTCCAATTCCCCCCCTATGAACCGGTCTGAACATTTCTCATTTTTAGGCTCTCTATCGTAACATGAAACAACACTATAAATGTCTTTTCTTTTCTTGAAAAGAATAAGGGGGAGACAGCTCCTTCGATTAATTTTCTTTGCATTGTGGCTACTTTGGTGTTATGAAACCAATTTAGACGAAGATCGTATGACCCGGATTTCTTTAATCTTCAGCGGTTTCATTTGGTAAAACCTCGAAAAGTGTGTGTGGGTGGGGATGTGTGTGTGTGTTAGCCTTCCCAAGGGGATATACTTAATTTGGAGCGTAATATACTTGATATACAGCGTAATACATCCAGGACTGGTCCCTCTTATTACTTGTTTCCCATTGGCATGCACCGTATTTGTACTGAGCTTCGAGTGTTTACGAAGACTTCAACACCTTTCAGATCATTAAAGACAATCTGCAGCAAATATTTGCCAGTTTCCATAACTTTCTTGTCATTTTAATGGGATATTGGCATCAACCCACGCGTGGACTCATTTTAACGATATTAGCGAATTTCCTCACCTTCGTATGCTTTTTTATGGGATATTGCTGTTGATCCTCACTGGGACCCATTTTAGCGATATTGGCGAGTTTCTACATCTGTCCTATGGTTTTGATGAGATATTGACCTTGAGTCACTCTTGGACCCATTTTGGCGATATGAACTAGTTTCCACAACTTGCTTATGAGTCTCATGGAATATCGACATTGACCTGCACTACCCATTTTGGCGATATTGGCGAATTTTCCCATCTTTTCTTTGATTTTCATAACCTAGCTATCAGTCATCCCGAACCCTTCCAGCCGTCTTCCCCTGTAGTTGACCTGGCGTTACAAAAGACCAAACAATGCTTCATGGAAACAATAACTTTTTTTAGGGTAAGCATACATGTTTTTTACAATACCTTTCTACTCTTCAAAAGTATTCAACGGGGAAATGTTTCAAAAAAACCCGACATGAAACTGTGTCCATAGCAGTGAAATACAGGTATCGCAAGAGTAACATTTTCAAGCAATGTTTCCTGGTGCGTATTTTACAGAGCAGATAAATAAAAAACAATAAGGCATCGTTTAACAGGCAAAAATTCCAGAGTACCAAGACCACAACTTAATTCAAATAAAACTGCCAAAAAATCTTTCTCTCAAATGTGTATCCAGCACACATGCAATATCATAGAAGAAGCGAATGTTGATAGCTTTATCTTGCACATGATTTTAACCCATTTTAACAAATACACAGCATGTCTAATCCTGGTTAATAAAATTATATTCATTATTAGCCACAATGTCCATGCAGTAATTTATTTGTGGCCTAGTTTCATTGAGTACCCTAATTATTGTTAGTGAACACCTTCTAAAGACGCCGGCCATTGTTTCGCTCGCAAATTTTCAGCGTATGCAAATGTTGCGATTTCCAAGACTCGCATTTGATTGGCTATCTGTAAGTTCCTTTGATTATTGTCCTATCAGAATGTCTGGTTTATTACTTCTTTGCACTGAATTAACCCTCGTTTATCTAAATCAATCAGAGCTGAGTAATTTTTTCATGTATATTATTAATTTCCTGATTTTCTGATAAGGAGTGTTGGTTTAACGATCAAGAGCTTCTTAAGTTGATGATCATTTCCGTCATTCTCATAACCTAGAACCATTAGAATGATATTGTGAAGAGAGTGTAGATGCTAGTCACTCCAAGAGGTCAAAGTGTTAAGTGTTACATGCACGTAGGAGGAATGACTTAGCCACTATGAAGTTGTGATAAGTTGCATTGCTGGGATAAATGTGACTAAAGAAATACCGCTTTTAGAACTGGCAAATTTTTGTGGTGAGAAAGTAACTCAAGAGCCTGATTTGCCTGTCTTATTTCTAATCTGTTATATTAGATTAGTTTTGGATAACCTCACAAGTGATGAAAATGTTGAAGAGCTTGCTGACCAAGAAAGAAAATTGCCTGGATCATACTTACAAGAAAGTTTGTAATTTTTGAACAGTGTCAGCGAGGGGTCCCTAAAAACGGTAGAAGACAGTCAAAATAAAGGAAACATGAACGATTCTGGTGGGTTTATTGTGCTACTAAAACAGTTTGCTTTCTTCCCATCTCTCGGAATAAACAAGTCATTCTGGATTCTTAATAAAGCAAAATCCTTGTGCTATGTAATAAATCCCTCATTGACCAAGCTTTTTCCGTCAAGATCATTGGATATTAGCCTCGATCTTTTTTTCTGTTCTTACAAACCTTGACTTCATCTCAGTCCATAAAAATGTAAAAAGAACTCGGCTGATATCCAGCCATGTTGACCTCATACTGGGTGAATAACGCATATATATTGCGCAGGATGCAGCTGGGAGCAGAGTCTCTACTTTTTCAGTTTAAGATAACATGAATTATTTCTTTCCTCCTATGTTTCCTGAAAGATTGTGTTAGTTCGAAGTAAAATGTATTTGAACATTTACTAATGAGTATTTTCTTTGATTTTCGAAGCTCTATGTTTTAAAAAGACATTTTAGTAAATTTTGAACCTTATGGACAATGTGCATTTACTTTGCACCAAATTCAGTTACTACCAATTGATGAGCCAACTCATGAACTAAAAATGTGACAAGTGTCGTAGAAATTGCAAAGATAGGCAATGTTAAGAGCAGCGTTAGGTTAGAATAACTTTTGAAATTGCAAACAAGATGCCGTAACCTTTATAAGCCTGCAAGAAGTACCTCTTACCAAAGAAAAAAGGAACTCTCCTTTACAATTTTAGATCAACTAACTACATCTTGCTAGATTTAATTTTGCTTGTTTGTTTGTTTTTTTTACAATCCAAATGGTATGTTAAAGTGTCTAGCAAGAACTCGCAGCTTTGAGTTAACTGTGTCCCAGTCCATACAAAGAAAATCAAGAAGGCGGCTTGAAGACTCAGTAAGTCGGAAGGCGGATCTACCATGAAACACGCGGTTGTTGTTTAACGATATCAAATCACCAGGCACCATTTTATATTCTATTTGATTGGCTGGACCTCTGAGAATTCTTCCATACTTGAGGTATGCTTCGTACAATTCCACGGTTTTCTCCGGGGGTAGATATAAGAAGGGGTCGCGCACAGCATCACAAAAGCTGAGTTGGCTCAATTTACCATTATTGTCCAACCTGCAACAAAGGCGTCTTAGTTGTGTAAGGATCAAGTAAAGTGGCTAACTGACTTCCAATTGTTCAATTCTTCACTAGTTTATTCACCCAGCAAGTTGAAACAGGAAGCAAATTAAAAAATGAAGAAAAGCAAACAAAAAAAGGAAAAAAAAGCGGTGACATTAAAGAGGACAAATTGGACTGTGTGGATGTCCGCCTTAATCTCTTTTTTGAGTTTATCTCCTTCAGCTTTGGGTGCAGTTATTTTCTTACATTTTTTGCCATGTATCCGTGCACTGACAACATCTTTTTTTTTTTAGTTTATTTCCATCAGCTTTGAGTGAAGTTATTTTTTTGTGTTGTTTGCTATGACAATACGATAACGGTTGCTACGTTACTTTAAACTTTAGTGCTCCTGATTTTAATCAAAACAAAGACAATTGAGAATGGGTTCTTCGTTTGAAACCAAGTCGTTGGCCCCTAACTTTTAATTTTGAATACATAATCAATGATTCAGAGGGGTTCAGAGCCTCCTTACTTTCTACACATATTAAGGTGGCTCTGAGCCATTTCAATAGCAAACTTACTCTATTGTGGCATGAGAAGATTTTGTGTGAAATTCACCAAACACGTCCTTGCCACGGTTACTGAATTGAATTGGAGTGGTAGACAACAGCTTGAAAGACTCTGGGTCACTTTCTTTCAACTGCTTTGCAGCGTGAAATCCGTCAGCAAACTGATTGGCGCCACCTTTGCCCGACACTTGCTCGATACAGTGAAGAATTGTTACCTTAAAAAAAAAAAAAGGAGCAAAATGAAGTTAAAAACAGGATTTCGATAATGCTTTTCCCGCTCACATTTAACCGAAACTAATAAAACTTAGAGGCAGATTAAGGCAAGATATTATTTCCTGGGATAAACAAATGTTATAAATTTACATCTTATTCCCTTTTTCACTTGATTTACTTACCCCGGGCTGATAATCCAAATGGGGAAAGTCATTGTGAAGAGGAAGGTCGTCTGTGGTAAAAGCCACGTTGTTAGAGTCAAGCCTGGCCCGTACATTGACGCTGTGGCTGCAAGGTTGGATACACTTGTCTTGAGGATTATACTCAAATAACGTTACCTTAAAGCAACCCTTAAAATACCAGATACTGGCATTTGATCAGAATTTAAGAACCTCAACTTAATTAGCCATCACAGTCGCAGCTAGTTAATATTACATTACACCATGTTCTGGAGACTCAATGGCATCCATCTCCCCATTAACACACAGATCACTCACCTGATTTCTCTTGATATGCTGGAATGCACAAGTCCTAAAGGTCTAGTTTGCAATAAACTGTATTACTTTGAAGATAAATCTGGATCTGTTCACTCAAAAGCAGAGTCTTTCTCTTTATCAAATTGAACAATTTGCATCTTTTGTCCAGTCAAGGTCCGTAATTTCAAAATATTTCACTTTCAACAACTGTTAGAAATCGTTTGCTGTTACATGGGTAAGTCAACAGCATACTGAGGTGAATTTTGGGAGTATTACCACTGCAAGTTCCTAGACACGTTTGGCTAAATTGATTTTAATAATTTCAAATTTTAAATGCTTTAAGGTTAAGTTTGGAAAGTTACTATGCTTCAGAAATTTCTTTACAAGGGTTCAATATCAGATCAGTGCAAAACTGCTCCAAATCAAAAGAAAAAAGGGAAAAAAAGAAAAGTAGAAACAACGACAACAACAAATACACCTACCCGTAATGGGTAGTTTTTAAAAATCCAACTCTACTGCTCAATTTCAAGCATTCACCACTCTGCAGAGGCGTGTTTGTTAGAAGTGCAATGCCCAAGCTATGAAGTGAATACAGCCATTCATACAGTTTGTAGTCATCTTCTATCACCTCTTGAAAGTCATAACGAGGTATCTTGCCTTGAAGCTACAATATAATTAATACCAGTAGTGTTAACCTGCATCACTGTATTTTTTGTCATCTGTTCCACTGTGAAAAGCAGTAAACTATTGGGAAACTGTCCACCACTCGAGTCAATGTCTGGGGACAAATCTCTGAGCCAACTGGGTTTATATATTGGAATGTCTTCTTTGGAACACCTTTTCATAGTCTTGAGACACTTTCATTCAGCAGACAGAAAATTTAATCCAGGAAAAATAATCGTGTGACCTTTGTATTTGTTACCTCTATTGCAGGAACACCTTTATTCACAACAAACGGTCACGTTTTCAAGGTCCTAAGAAAACGTGCTCCCAAGACCTGCCCAAAAGCTCCATCCGGGAGCACCTTAACCAGTGGTCAACCTGTATTAAGCGGTTACGCAGCCGTTTTCCGCTTAATACAGGTTCGACGGTATTTCTATTGTTAATTCTTTATGAACATCAAGCCAAGCACACTTGCCCTAGTCCCGTTTGTGCTCCAAGGGTGCCCCTGAGTGGAGGTTCCACTGCATAATGCAGCTGTCTCAAAATGGATTGTTGCGCCAATGCCGAAAGGTGCTAAGAACAAGAGACTATAAACTATATTCTCTTGCCTAGAGTTCTACCATATCACGAGTCAACTTTGGGCCCGAGTCAGGCGATGGACAAAACATTGACCCCAGTCTAGAGACTACTCCAATGGACTAGCTTAAAATGAACAAATCTTTTTGGTCTATTGTTTTCGCTAACCACAACAAACACCACGAAACTTGGGCGATTATTTTTAACAATCAAAGTCCTTCCCTCGGAAAATATCTCGAAGTCTTGTTAATTCTCTCAACAGTGCTGTTTTCTGCTTCAGAAAATAGATTGATGCAGATATTTGCTATGTTCATCGGAGATTCTACACAGATAGCCATTCCTAGATTCAGCGATCCGTGTAGTTTACAGCAACGCGGCATGTTGCATAACCCGACACGCTCGGCGCGCTCGGTCCGTACGTCATGACCACGAGCTAAGTAATTTTTCTTCCGGCCCTCCTACTCAGTCAGTCAGTATATTTTGAAACCCCGGTTAAAGTGATACCCATATCACATGAGAAAAAAAGAAAAGTTTTCATTCCGGTGAAAAAAACGTTTTACCGAGGCATAATATTATTTGTTCTCCACAATTTTGGGCGAGGAAGGAATGAAATAACTTGTAGTGCTGATCCTTTAGCTATGGGATTCCTGTTGTCGCAAGATGGCGGTCGAGTGCGAGAAAGTGCTGGATTCTTTTTATAATCGGAGTCAGTTCCGAAGATTTGTTGATGAAATAGATATTCCGCCTCAGGTGTGTGTGTTTAAAAGAAATCAGAATCTTTGGGGAAAACTGGTAGATACCTTGAAATGTTCACTTCCTCGAGCCCAGCTGTGAACCAGTGTAGGAATAACCCTTGCGAACGGCCGTGAACAACGTTTTAATCCTAAAACTTTGTATACCTGTATCCCTGGTACATCATTTTGACACCAAAATAAAAACAATAACAATAAAATGACTAAAACCAAAAAAAAAAGAAATTTAAGTTGACTCGAACTTGACTTGGGCCTTTACTTGACTCTTGATACAACTCACTCGCCTAAACTTTATCATTCTTTGCGGGTTTACTGTAGGAGAAATTCTTAACATTCTCAAAAAGTTAACGCGGCTCTGAACTGAGTTAACTCAAAATTTGAAAACAGACTTATCTTGAGACTTTAAATGCAATTTATTGATAAAATGGGGGAGGGGGGGGGGTCAGTGTATCCGTTGCTGCATTCCGTTCCGCATGAAGCACAACATAGAGTTGTTTTCAAGGGTCTGTAGTGCTGTTATTTTAACCTTCATAGAAAAAATTAATCACAACTTATTCAGTTCTATATACCACTTCCTAGGGAACAAATAAAAAAGTAAAGGTTAAGATCCATCCAAGAGTTGGAGATTAAACAAAACAGAACTTTTTGAGCCACCTTGCAGGAGTTTTTATGAAGACGGCTGAATAAACCAGTTGGTACATTATTTTCCGATAAGCACGAATCGCATAATTACCTGTTCAGCGTTCCAAAAAATTACACCTTCTTTGTTTAGTGTCGGGTCCTCTTTAGCTTCATCTGCCTGCGGCTTCTCAGCTAAGCGCCGGGAGTGGAGCCACTCAGAATCAAACACACTGACATGTTCATCTGGCCAAGTGACAGCAATTTGTTTACCGCTTTGCAAAACTTCGACTCGTTTTGGTTGAATGTTCATCCTCAACTGGCCCACTGTATCAAAGCTTCGTTGCGAAGAAGACTCGTGGAAGCATTCAGGGCATCGACAGATGTCGCGAAGGAAGACAAACGGATAACGGTTTACTCTGTTGTCGTTCCATGTTACATGTAAAGTCCCATCACTTTTTGTTTCTCGAACGCTTAGCGCGGTAGGCACAAGGTTTTTAGGGTGAGCCTTCGTTGCGAAATTCACCCTAAAGCGCTTTGAAGAGGGGTGAAATAATCGCTGACATGTAGAGGCAAATCTACACACATTCCTCAATCGAGAAAACATGCCCCCAGTTGTTGGTGGAAGACAATCGAGTCGCTACTTCCGCCCTTTCTCCCTGTTTTAATCCTCTCGCGTGCTCGCGCGAGAGTACCCGCTCGAGCTCAAGGTCATTTTGCCTCCTTGTCAGCGGTATATTTACCAAATTGTATGTCATTACTTGGCAAGTATGTTGTTTATATGACAATGAATGTACTCTACGTATTTGATTTCAAAATGGCAGGATGTGATGAAGGTACTTGATGATTTTGTTGTGTGTAATATGTATGCCGCCGTTCCTCCGCCAGAGCAATCGATTCCTGAAAGCAGTACGAGCAAAGAAAAAGAAGGTTCTCCGCGTGGGATAACAGAAGAAACGTGGCAGGTATAAAGTATATATCTATTAATAGATATAGATTTGTTTACAATTGCATTGCTTGGTAGGTGTCGTTGGTCTATGGTATCATTGAATTCTTCTAATTTTTCTCGTCAATTTTTGGCATGTATATTGTTACGGATAATAAAGCAGGTCCACATCAGCTTGCTCTTTGGATTCTGTGCTGCGATGCTCTACCACATAGCTTCAGAGACTCCATGTTAAGCAAGGCCCATTATGAAGTTCATTTATGTGACACGCATCCTGCATACTGCTAGGATCAGCAATATTGATAGTGTAATGTTTCTTTACCAAGCTTAAAACTTACCATCTTTCTTATTCCACATGTATTTACAAAACTTGACACTATCAACATTGCTGGTCCTAGCAGTATGCAGGATGTTTGTCATATATATGAACTTCGTAATGGTCCTTACCATGGAGTCTCTGTGCCTCATTGGTAGAGCATCGGAGAGTGGAATCCAGGTCTGAAGTTCAGTTCCTCTTGGGGACTCAGAATTTTTTCTTTGTCCCATGCTTGTAACAAGATGATAGACATCTTTCTCTGTCTAGAACTTATTTGACATTGTTTTCTTAGGAGTAGGAATTGATATTAATGGGATCTTACAACACTCTGTATGTAAGCTGGCCTTCTAATTTCTAATCCACATTTCAAGCAAAAAGGCATTTTTAAACCCATCACTTTCTGATTATTTTTCTATTTTTGATGATACTCTGTTGAACATCATATTTTTTCTTAAAACTTCAGAAATTTCAGCAGTTGAGGGAGCGTAGACTGCAATGTTGTAAAGTTTCAACAGATAAGAGGGTTAAAGAACTTAAGAAGAAAGCAACAAAGTCAGGTGAATTTTAACAAAAGAAAAATTAACATTTTTTCAGTAGAAACAGAGATACTTGCATTGGGAGCTTCAACAGATGGAATATTTATAATCACCTGAAAAGAAATAATTATTTGTTTGAAATGACACATTTATCAACAGATTGTATTGCCCTTAACTCTTTATCCTCTTGATTCCAACATCAATGAAGGTATTTGGGGAATTATCCCATACTAAAGAAGGTCTTGGTTATTAAAAAAGTTATTTTTGCCAGCACATCAAGCAGTGTAAAGAAAATAGGAGAATATGTGTACAAATGTTAGGGTATAGAGGATTAAAAGTGTATTCTTATTCAAGAAAGAGATCATCAATTTGAACCTGCAATCAGAATACTTCACATCTTCCTTGTTTTTCTAATTTTCCCCTTGAACAGCATCAACTCCTATTTTACAAATTTTTCCATGAGTATAAAATGTCAATTGCTGATGCGATATTTATTCTTATCAATAGTGATTTCGTAAAACTTTTGACAATAAATTTGAAGGGTAAAAAACAATGTTTCAACCAAACTTTGGTCATTTTCAAGTGAATAATAAGAATTTCACATAAATATATAATTTATTATATGCGTGTAAGAAGTGTAAAATTTTTTGGAGGTGTAAATGGACAATAAGAACATACAAGGAGAAGAAATAATAAGAAGCTAATTACAACCCAATTTAAAAATAAAGATAAAAATTAAAACCTAATTAAAAACCTTTGCACAAATTGAGTCTGACTGCACATTGAGAGCAGGTCTCAGTTCTCGAATAAAAAACACTTTATAAAGTAGGCAGTGAAATTTGTTTGTATACTTCTTTAAACAGTAAAATTCTTCGTAAGATCCCTTGGGGTCAAAGAATGCTTGTCACAAAAATCAATCGGTGAAGTGGGGTTTCTGTGTTTCTGTGTTCTTGAACACATTGGTGCAGATGGCAGTGCGTAAAACCAACATAAACTGCATCGCACAGGTCGCATTTAAATTTGTAAACAAGGCACTGTTGGTTCACAACCTGTGGCTTCACTTCTTGTAACTTGAGATCTTGTACGATCTTCTGGCTTGCAAATACAGGCTGTAGTGGTTGTGTGGATCTTCTAACTTAAATCTCTAAGTTGGATGCGTACAATATCAGCTGAGACCTGATCTTTAAATGGTAGGACAACACAAATGGGGTCTGTTCGATTGCTGATAGTTGATGAGGAAACAGGTTGATTAGATGCTTTGGTGGCAATAAAACATGAGAAAAAAAGAGTTGACAAGTTTGTCAGGATATTTTAGTCCAGAAAACAAAAATTTCAGTGAATCACATTCTTCAGAGAAGTAACACCAATTCAATGAAAGTTGAAATACAAGTCATGATCAAGCATAGTTTTTAGTAACCTGTTTTTGTATTGTTCTACTACATGGCTCTTGTAATGCTGCAGGAGGCCAGTGTTTGTGGGTTTAATGTACACCTTTGTCTCAACACATGAGTGTTTGTTGAGCAGCTGGGTACTCAAAAAAGGAAGTATGCTTTTACTCTCTGTCTCCCTGGTAAACTTAATAGAAGAATGGCACAGATATAAAATCTCAAGGAAATTGACTGCTGATGTTATGTCTGGCATGATAGTCAGTATGTCATCCACATATCTCCTGTAATATGTGGGCATCTTGCCTTCACGCTTCAAAGTATCCTCATTATATTTATTCAAATAATATTCTGTATGAGAAAGGTTATGTTCATGTTTAAAAGACACAATTTGCATAACAGTTGAAGTAAATTTCTAGAATGATTTTATTGCACTTTACATCCATTTTTAATCCAATTCTGTAAGAAGAAATAAACAACAAATAAATGTTTTTTTTAAGATTAACCCTTTAACTCCCATGAGTGACCAAGACAGAATTTCTCTTTACGATATCAATACAATATCAAGCAGACAATTGATGAGAATAAAGAAAAATATCAGTCAAAGTATCATTAGTTGATCCAATACCAAGTTCTCATAACTAACATCACAAGAACTGTATGGCAGACAATAAGAAGAATTAATTATGAAATCTTGAGAGTTAAAGGGTTAAGACAGTATTATCTTGCTATTAACCCTTTACACCCTAACATCAGTATGCATATTCTCCAGACCATTCTCTATAGATTTCCCAAGGTGTTGACATGGAGAATTGGGTTGAAAATTAAGATCTGCTTTAGTTAATTATCATCTCCATCATTCTCATAACCATTAATGGATGATATTGTGTGGAGAAAGTAGATGCTAGTCACTCTAAAGGGTCAAATGGTTAAGTGGTACATAGAGGTGAGAGGAATAACTTGGCCATTATGTCATTGTTGCACAGGAAATACTACTTGTAAACCAATTTTTGTGGGGATAAAAATAATTAAAGAGCCTGATTTGCCTGTCTCATTCTTAATTTGTTCTATTCAAATAAGTTTTGGATAACTTCACGAGTGATGAAGAAGTTGCAGAGCTTCGCAACCAAGGGGTGATCTTTAAACAGGCCAACAACAAAAGTAGACCAACTGAATTCTCACACAAGCAAGAGAAGTAAGTTACAGAAATATTATTATTTAGATATTTCTGTTGTTGTTGTTATTGTCAATAAAAACTTGCTAAAATACTATTTTCTGTGGTTTTGTCCTAACATGAATAGTAAAATGATATCAACAAATTGTAGAAGAACAGGTTTTTAGAAAGGGTTAAACCCCTTTGAAATCTAGAGGTTGGAAAATACTGTTTGTTTTATTAGATATTTCTTAAACAAAATCAACTTGGATGATGCCTCCCCTGGCATATCCTTTAAAGTGCGGTACTGTTCCATGCTTCTACACCAGCCACCTTCCCTTACATGGGAAAGAAGCATCTGGTGGGAAATATTTCAAATACATTAAGAAAAAAATTGCCACGGCTTTTGTTAAGGGTTTTAAAATGTTTTCACTAAAAACAGGAAGGAGGATTCAAACTCTTATTCAAAATAGTTTAGTGTACAGGTAAATCTATAGAATAGTGATACACCAATCATACAAATAATCTGGTGTTACCAGTATTGCATTCTTAAGCATTTAAATGTGATTCAGCTTCATAGTAATCTGACATAAAAATTATTTGAATTTTGGCTGGAAAAAAGCATTAAACACAGAATCCTACAAAAATTTATAATTTTCAGGGGTGTAATCAGGGGTGTAATGTGCATTCTCATGTAGTATGCACCAACAAAAAAGTTGGTGCAAAAAAATCCACGCATCTCCAGAGCTTTTTCATAATGTAATGTAATGTAAGAGAATAGTCTTTTCAAAGGGCAGCCTTTGTAAAGATTAGGATTTCTTATGAATTTGTCGAACATGTTCCTTTTGTTAAATTCACAGAATCAGAAAGCAAAAGGGTAATGAGAAAAGATGGAGTGAACTTCAACAATATTTAAATTCAGCTGTACATTCAGAAGAGCATGAAATGGATCACACAAAACACACACCAAAGGTAATTTTAATTAGTGTTACTCAAATTTTTATGTACACCTATTTTGGAAATTTTACAGCAATACCAGCCCTAGCAGTTTATTAGGAACATAGGCATGCATAGCATGCAAGAATTATTTTTTTAGCTAGGTCACTTTGTGTTCCTAATGTTTTCATAACTATCAAAAGAATGAAAATATCCCATTACTTCACTTCAAGAGAAAGAGAAAAAACATAATATATCAAAACTCATGCAGGTATTTTGTGGTCTCTATTTTGTCTCTATTGTCCAATTACTTCTGAGCAAAAATAAAATGCCTACTGTAGTCTCCTTCGCAGCCGTTGTTTGGTCTCATCATGCAATGTCCTCTATTCCCTGTTGGATGATGAGACCAAATAACAGTTGCAAAAGAGACTATGCTTACAGCCACTCCTCAAACAGAAAGAAAATCAAAATTATTTGTCTGCAGTTAGTCACCTCAAAAATATAATTCCACATAATTCTACTGGAAAAAGCAGACTGAAACTGTTGAATCTCCAGAAGACCCTAACCAAAGATATATTGTGATCTTGTATGAGGGAAGATACACTGAGCAAGAGAAAAGGATAATATTTCAAAGAGGGCTCCTTGATCAGTTGTTGCTTTGCCCTCCTTATGTGAAATATGTGATAAAATGCAAGTTGTTTACGAGAAATTAACATGCAATTGGGTTAATTCCAAGGTAGCTTAAAGGCAATTTTATTCACATTAGTGAAAATGTGCATGAAAAATTCACTATTAGTTGTCTAAAGTTTCATGTGAATTTTTTTCAGTGGTGTTGGATAATATGGTTAGAATACGAGATAAAATGCAGGTTGCTATCAAGGAAATGACATGTGATGGAGCGAAGTCTAATGTGGCAAAATAGAATTTGATTGGTAGAATACAATTCAAGCACTTAAAAAATTGCCTAATGTTCATGTAGTGCAATGATTGGGTAGTTTCTGATTGGACTTTGGATGTTGTTTTCACAGTGTGTGATGAAATGTAAGTTGTTTGGCATGTGCATTGTGAGAAAAGGAGTGGAAAAAACATGTTTTAACTTTAAAATTATGCAATGAAAATAAACACAAACCTTACTTATTCAGATAAATCTCGACCTCATTCGATGAGGCTCTTGCATAGGCCACAATCATAACACTCATCAAATGAGCCCAAAATTTCTGGTTAATGTCATTTTTTGTGCACAGCCCCCTGATTCCATGGCATCATTTACAAGAAAGCAATACCCAAATGCTGTGATTGGTGCATGATATCCAAATGCTGTGATATGATTGGTGCAAGATATATACCCTAATGTGGCAATCTGATTGGTACAAGATACATACCCCAATGTAGCAATTTGATCCATGCAAGATATATAACCTAATGCAGTGATGTGATTGGTGTGGGTAACATACCACTCTACATGCTAACATAGTTATTTTTTTAATTAAAAAAATAACTCAATAAATTGTATCTAAATCCAATAAGTGAAGGAGAATGCTTGAAATAAACACAAGGCCATAGATTTTGAGTGCTTGCTAAAGATGGGACCTCAACATACAATTATTTGCTTTGATTTTCTTTCAACCACTCTTATTAAATACTACATTTAACTCTTATTTTTGGCTTTTCAGGATGAAATTGAAAGAAATTTGGAGGTTGCACTTAAAGAGAAGAAGTTTGAACTTTCAGAAAAACTGAACAAGCAACTTATGGAACATGACTTTGCATTAAAAGTTGCTCAAGCTGTTGAATGTAGAGACTATTCAAAGAGAAAAGCTGCTGAGGATGAAAAAGCTAAAAAGAGAAAACGATCAAAACCTCATTGGGCATTTGAACAAAAGGCAAGATGGGAAAGCAAAGGAAACATGTAGAAATGAAGTACAGTCTAGGTTGAAGCAGAAATGGAGCCAGATAAGGCTCCATTTTTTGTGACTGTTTCATGTCACAGAAGTTTGAGGTAACCAGCCTTGGTGAATGAGGATGAAGCTGCAATTGACTGAGAATAACATGGAATCAATGCACATGTACCTGTGAGCATATCTGATTTGAATCCACCCATCAAAGGCCAAGCTCAGGCAAACTTAAATATTGCAAAGGGGGCCTTGATCCTATTTCATGCACAAATTTTAGAAAAATTGCACATCAGGTATATTTTAAACAGCATTCCATGCATCAAAAGTTAAAAGGGAAAACCTTAAAAAATCTCATCTCGTGTTCAAGATTTGAGGGAAATATTGAGGTTTTTGCAACATGAAAGAAAAACTTCATGGGTCTATTGTTTTTCCGGAGGCATTCATGCCTCTCACTGGTTCATAAATTTACAATTCAAATTCATCTTCCAGTAAAATTCACTTGTCACATATAAATTTTGGTGTTGATCTTGTATGACATGTAAACCCATTTGCCACCCAGTTGAAGTCTACCAGTGAAATAAGGCTAAAGCACAGTCAGCTATGACATAGAATTAGAAACAATTGTAGAGATCTGTCAAACTTTAATAAAAGAAAATTTGTTCTGTGCAATAGTGAACCATCTTCATTAACTTCTTATGCTGCTCATTGTCCAGCGTGGTTAAGATATGGGAAAAGATTGTGGCTGAGCCAATGAGCTGCTTGGTGCAAAAGCTCAAGGGGAAGGGGTAGGGTAGAAAATTCCTGACATCTTACCAGCTTAGATGTCTTTTTAGAAATGTCCAAAATCTAAGCAGCAGGAACATTAAGTCTTGAGATATTGCCTGTGGAACTAAGCATAATATTATGTTACTAGCTTCCAACATGCAGGGTTACACATTGCAGGCCTGTCAGAATTCTGGGGCATATTTAGGACAGAGAATAGTTGCTAGATTGTTTTTGAGGCTGATGAAGTTCTGCTTTGCTGAGTAATGAACTTAACAATGGTAGTTATAAAATAAACAAGGCTTTTCATTCCATCACATAAAGATGACTGTGTTTGTTGCATGCCTATAACAGATTGAGCAGTTTCATGAATAACAGTACATATGGTTTTTTCTTTACATTGAAGCTTAAGAATGTGCATTTATGACAAATTGTTAAGTTAAACAACTTTGTACACTTTTCAAGAAGTCGTGATCATGTCATAGCTGACTGACTTTCAATAGTATTTCATTGTACCTTTATTAAAATAACATTGGAATACCCAGTGGATTTTAGCCTCTGGGGAATACATCCTTTATTCTTAATCTTACTGACTTTGTTAGGGATTAATTTGACAGTCTGAAAACAAACAAACGAAACAAAGCTCATGGATATCTTTATTAGATAAATTTGCATTTCTTTCATTCCTTATTCTTGGGTAGGAATCCAATATCTTACCAAGATGTTCACAAACAGAAAGCTTGATATTGATTTAAGATACTCTTAAAATTAAAGAATTTGATCAGCATCATTAGTTTTCTTTTCTTTCTTACTGGTATTTCATGGAATGACGTCAATGCAAATGTTCATAAGCGTAACCCACATTGAGGAAAGAAGCAACAGGAAATATTAGTAACCGTGAACAAGAAGTGAGAACCAGAAATGTGGTCATTTGCAGATGTATCCCTACTCCTTGGTAAAACCTTTTCTGGAGAACAATCTTGGTTACACCTCTCTCTCTCTCTCTCTCTCCCTCTTTAAGTATTGCCCATCACAACAATGATACTTATGATCTTCAGTAGATGAGCAATATTTACTCTGATCTATTGTTCTCATACAAGTTGTTTTACTTTGTGGTGTATCTATTTGAACTTTTAGAGTTAACTTTCACTCTAGCTCTGTAACATATCCCTGGTGTATTTCACCATTAGTAAATATTATGCTACTAAATAAAGAGTATGCGAAGACTTCTGTATGTTACATCTAGGTCACTGTAGGATGTTACAGTGAATTTGCTTCGTTTCATCTCCATGTTTCCTTTAGTTTCAAGCATGACAGCCCTTGTTTATTAATGCAAAAACTTTTTTGCCATATGGGTTTCTTCTACTCTGGGTTGTCAGTGCTCGACTGTGGACAACTTCTACTCATGAATAAAAATAAATCTTCACAAAACCTTTCTGTCAATTTGGAATCCTTATGCTATTTTTACCTCAACAGGCTGACTTAATTGCTAAACTAAGCTGAATAACATCAAACCAAGCGCATTGATATTGTTTATCTGTTTGGAAATAACAAAGCACGTACTGGATATTTGTATTCCTGAGGTCATGTCAATTTGTCAATGTTTGATACTTAAGTTTCAGCTTCATTATATTTCATCAGGAAGTGGCGTTTTGATAACTAATAATGTACATGAGAAAATTAGGTGCATCTGATTGGCTGAAAACAAGTGCATTTTTCATGTAACAAGAGCACAAAGTTGTAAGTTGAGTGAAACTACAAATAGCGCACATGTGCTGCTAAAATTTCGTCTGTCTTGCCTGTGATGCGTTTTTCATGTAACCTGTCAAGTAATAAATTGCGCTATTCTTATGGGCTCCTCCAATTCTGCTGTCTCTACTTGTGAACACCACAATGCATTCAATATCATGTTGTTAACTGAACTTAATTCATGTGGCCATAAATGATGATGTAGGTGGTACTATTCTTGTTCATCCCTAATCTTCTTGAAATTTAACGAGCAATAATGGGAAACCTCAAGGGTGGATGTAGACTTCTGGTAACCAGCTTTGTTAGTTACTAGGGGTGTATGTGTCAGTGGGGACAAATTTTGCAGTTCTGCTGCAAGAGCCATTAGATATCAATCAGCAGACTTTGGCTTTTCTGTCAGTCTATTGCACCTTTTGCTTTATGGTAAATTTCAAAATGGAACACAGAGAATAAGGTTTATGTATCATGTGTGATCAAAATGGGAGGCTGCTATCTTATGATTACCCTTTGGCAGAAAAATTAAAAGAAATTGTGTCAATCTATTGACTGCCCAACAACCTCAAAATTCACCAGTACGCTTGAGCACATATCATGCCCTTGAGCTACCTCATACTGGCCCAACTACAGATCACGCTTGCACTAACACAAACATTCAGAGTCAAATGTTCGAAACGATTAATTTACTTTATCTCTCCGTTTACATAACCAATTATGAAATAAATAAGATGCCAACTCGACTTTGAATACACAATGATCTATACACGAGTACAAAATTCTTTAATCGTTAGCAACGTAATATGTTGTTACGAAGACCACTCAACTTACGAGGCTTGACTTTCCCCTTGAAAAATTAAAAATGACCATACTGACCAAATGATGCCAGTAAAAAAATTCAAACTCTCAATAATATTAAGTTTGAAGAAGTTCGAACAACTTCTGCTAAAATAAGTATCATGAAACTTATTGATGCTATAAGACGAGGGTTAGAGTTCGATTCCAAGTCCTTTCTAAGAAGTTCTCGCTAAAATCTAATTTCAACTTGACACTTTTCAATCTTTCATTTCAAAATCCAAGGCCCACATATCTGTATTGGATATGCCCATAAACGTTCAAACTACTGTTATTATTATAAACCCACTCTCGAGATTTCCACTGGTTCGGTGAATAGCACATAACACGATAATTGTCTCCACTATTATTGTCCCAAAATTCTACTCCTAGTACCTTGTAGCACACGGCAAACTCCAGTTTGCAGTCTTTGATAAGAGTTGTCGGTATAGCTATTTCAAATGAGAAAGTATCTGTGATTCCATTGTAAGAGCCATGTACATAATTACCCACTACATCACGAAAACTTGACCAGCCATCGATCGTGTACCGCACTGTAATTCTTTTCTCGTACGCCAGATTCCGAACTTTCACTGTTCCAAAGACCCCAAAGTTCCGCAGAACAATATTTTCTAGGGAAACGTTAAGGCTGTTAAGTCTTTCATTGAAGTCTCTTTTTTCTACTGGCTGTAAAAAATTTAATAGTTTAGCTTTCTCTTCGCATCTTCGCTGTTGAGGTAATTTCGTTCTCGTAGGAGGTTGCGGTAAATAAAATATGGATACGAGAGCAAGTCCCATTGAATCTGCAAAATGCACTCTTTTATCCTTTTTTACAAGCTCCGGGTCACTTTTTCTGCAAGAACCTAATTTAACCACACTTGATTTCAAAGACTGAGTTGGAGGCATTTTTCCTCGTGTACCACCGTGTAGTATTAAAAAAAATTATCCACTATTAGAGGAGGCCAAGAGTTTCCCACACAATTATTACAGGGGAATTTGTAATAACGTACACAATTTTCTCTGGCTCAATTCGAACGACAGCTGTGAAACTCTGCAACCGGCAAGAATGGGCTCTGCGCAGAATATGTCCTAATTTAAACGAGCCCTAAATATCTTACGTTTCATTGCAGTACAGTGTTTGAGTTTGTTTACTAGTCAGTATCCTTTCACGTGAACATTGTCGAACAAATCAAAAGCGACCAATCGCAGTGAACTTCCTCTTCACACGCACACGTGAAATTTGCGTAATGACTTATTGTACAGGGAAATTTCGTGCGTGAAACTAGAAACTATGTCCTTAGTCACTCTTCCGGTAACGCTTTGTTCTCGCTCTCTAATGAATATACCACTAGGAATTCGTCGACAGTGCGTTAAGTAATATTATATGCTGTCAATGTTTGACTCTCAGTCCTCTTAAATTCCGACTTATCGGCGAATCTTGCTATGCGATTTTAAAGTCGTCAAATGTTTTTCGTACTTTCCTGCATTTTTTTCGCGATCTTTCATCGTCGATGTCACCAACATGTCCAGTTACAACTACATCACGTGCTCTTAAATACGGTGGTACCATATAACCACGTGCACTTTCATTTGCTCTAATTTTCCCTCATAGTTCTACTTCCACGCGAAAAGCTTGTTAAAGACCATTTGAACAAAAACATATTTTGTAAACATAAATATTATTGCGACAGGAACGCCATTTACGACCTTTCTCGGGGTGGTTGGAACTAGTTACATAAGGGCAGGTGTAAGGGAATGAAGTTATATAACCTAGATGGCACCGTGATGCTGTGCGTGATGCCATAAGGAAGTCTAGATAGTTTCTCATCGCTGTTTCAGTAACGAAATAAATGAAAACCAGTTTAATACCAATTAAGTGCGTCTTCAAAAGGGACCACACTAATATTAGACGCTAAATAAATTGTGCGTCTTCAAAAGGGACCACACTATCAGATGCTAAATAAATAGTTCGGTCACGCTAAGCCAATTTGCGTGCGGGGATGTCAAAAGGGGGTCAATACCTCCTCGATTGGTCACGAGAGGGTCTCAAATCCTGTGTTACACGTTCTTTCAGCAACACACATGAAACGTTTCATCAGGTCACAACATATCGCAAAATAGCTGAGTGAACGTGATTTTGATAATGCGACGCATGATTCGTGGTCAAAATTTTTCGCAGAATGCTCACAGGTTCTTAGCAGCTCTTGTTAAATGATGACGATGTAGCGCAAAGTTCTATGCCAGGACTGTCCGACCTGACTTTTCCGATCTCAAACTGTTTGTAAATCGGACGGGCCAAATTGTACATTAGGTAAAAACACTTAGACCAAGCTAAGAAACAAAATCAAGGAAAGAACAATCGAGTACGAAGGTTGCCTATTACTCTAGCTTCGGTTTGAAATGGCACCAGCGAATTAGTTTAATGGTCCAAAGTAAAAAAAAAAAAAAAAAAAAAAAAAAAATATATATATATATATATATATATACACACACACTGCGGAGTTTTTGTAGTTTACGTCAAAATTCAATGATAATCGCGTTCGAAATTTAAAACCTAAGAACTCTATTGGACGCTTTTGAAATTAGTTCCACTCAGCCATACTGATATTAATTAGTACAAAAACTTTTGTATAAATTTCCCAAAGTTTCCGTTCTTGTAATAACTACATACAAGTGCTATATTTTCCACAATTCGGTCAAAATTGGCTGGTTGCATAATAAAGGAGATCAGCTATATCTTGCAAAATAATACTTCAAAAATTCGCATGTTGCGACAAGCAGAAAAAAACGACGTTCTTGAGCCGAAGAAAAAAGAGAGACACTCTCCCTAAATATGCAATATGGGTTTCAACACCTCTATCTCATCTCAGGTGTTGGAGAGCAGCAAAACTTTTGGTCTAAGTTGCACGCAATCTCTCTCTCCATAGGATTGTTGCAAAGGGCACTACGTTGTACAGGAATGGAGAGTCTGGCGAGCAAAGATTTTTAACTCCAGTGACCAAAAAGAATTGGAGTATTGATGAGTCTTCTCTCTTTCAAAGAAAGAAAAAACCGTTTTCACTTGTAATAAAGAAAACGATAGTTATACTGTAATAAGGCGTCGAGGGAAACTTGCTTGAAAATAGGAATTGAGGAAAGTGAATAAAATTTCGCTCATGAATTTTCTTACGCGAAGCCTCTCGGCTATCCAGTTCCCTCAAGCAACCTACAAAGTTAAAATCGCAGCCGAAAATCTTTTGTCTGCAATCACTGTTTGTAAACATTAAACATCTCAGTCAAAGTAGACAGACAAAACACAGTTCATCCAGGTATCACAGAAGAGATACGGATCCATTGGTGAGAAGTGGTGCTACAGCGCTGTAACGCATGATATATTGTGCTCTGTCCTCTAAGTCAATGGGTTCCTCACTATGAAAACAAGCAAAGGAAGGTAACAATAGTGAGTGTAAGATCAATAGCAGCACGAGGTCACGGAATTTGAATCCATTTTGCAACTGCAGATGAATTAGTAAGAGAATACATGAAATTTGAATACAGTCGATCTTCAAGACTGAAGTGGACCTACAAGTCGCACAAAGTTAGGGTTGCACTAATAATACTCACTCAGGATCTATCATGATTTGTTCCTGATTTTCCAGAACCTTTAAAAACACATATTTGTCCATGTTTGGCCGTGGAACTGAAAAGGAATTCATTTGATAACAATCACTCTTTGCCCCACATGGTGACAATTATATTTGAAGGGTCATACACTAAAGGTGATTTTCAACTGTTGCAAGAAATAATATAGGCATTGAACAGCGTCCTAACATCAGTGCAACAAGAAATTTACCACCTTTTCCTTTAACACAGCTTAAAACTTTTCCATTATAATCTAACCTTTATTATTTCATGACCCAATGCTGTCATATCTCTTCTTATTTTTCCTTTTAACAACTTGAAACTTTTGACCAACTACTGTTGAATAATTTTGATATTTTTTTCACATGGAAGGCTACCATAGCAACACTACAGACTCTAACAAAAAAGCCCTTGTATGTTAGTAGGCTGTGCTTTTCACTTAAAAGTGAATTTAGTGACCTCAGTAAATTCATTACCAAAGTACAATCAGTATAATAAAATCTTTTTTTGCAAAATTAAGATAGCTTTAAGCCTATGACACACTACAATGTGTCATAAGGACTAGAGGTTAGTTTCAATTCATTAGCAGATTGCAGAAGGTAAAAAATATGGTTTAATTGATCCATTAAAAACATATGTGCTAAGACAATAAGAAAAACGTTTTGGGACTCTTTGTCCTCTTTAACAAAACAACAGCTCTTCAACGTAACAGTATCTTAATAGTGAGCCCTAAGTGGAAGCTCCCTTTTAATATTCATACTCACCTGCTTTCTTTCTATCAATATTCTGCATGTTGGCTGGCATGTGTTGCAATGCCAATGATTTCAACAGACCTTCCATGTTGTCTGCATATCTTTAAAAACAAAAATTAAATTTATTTGTTGAGAAGCATTTTTTTAGCTTAGTTTAACACTTTTACACTTAAAAGAAATACCTCAGCATTGTTTAAGTTAAACTGCAAAATAATCAAATCCACAACCCAGAGATGTCTACTATTTAAAGCGAGATAGCCAGTTGACTCACTCCTTGGCATACTGAAGTTCTTCTGGAGACAAACATGAGGGTTCATTTTCTTCTCTTGCTGCTTCCTGTTCAAGCACATGGACAACATGCTTTTCAATCTAGAAGATAAAATTTCACAACATAGTGAAGCTTGAAAACAACAGCAAAAACTTGAAATTGTGTGACAATGATATAATACTTACCTTTTCTAACCTTGTTCTTGTGTAACTACTCAGTACAAATCGTATTCTGTCAATCTATGAAATAAAGCAAGAATAAGTCACATGTAGCTATAAACTGCTGTTCACAGCTTAAATAATTGATAACTTTGATGATGCAGAACAATTCAAAGTAGTTCACAGGCCACATTTTAGAGGCAATGTGAAGAGTGTTTTATTGTGTGAGAAAATATCAGTCTCACCTCTAATTTATGCAATGATGCTACAACATCTCCCTGCTTTATTTTCTTTAAATTTCCTTCCTGACACAAAAACAAAAACTGATAAACTAAGGGGTAACATTAGTATTACTAAATAAAATTAAGTAACTGACTACAGTGCCAGTCCCCTTTATTATTTTAGGAATTTTCAATCCTTTTACCAGTTGAATTTTCAAGAATTCCAAGTGATTTAAGGTGGTGATAAGAGGTACTAAACAGTCACAGCTTAAAGTGCTGATATGTGGATAGGAACTGATAACAGAAGTGAGCAAAGTCAAATTATTAGGTCTTTGAATATGAAAAGTATACATACCTCTTAACCATGTTCAAGGTCTGACCTGTAAGTTACAGACCAATTTTTTTCTGCTCTGATTTATGACCCAAGTGTAAAGCACACAAGCCATAAATCCCAGTGGAAAAAAATTAGGTTTTGTAACTTACAGTCAGTACACACCAAGAAAACTAGGTTAGTAAGAAATTTATTATATCTCTGAGGAACATTTCAACTTGAACAAAATTTTGAATTTACAGCCTGCTAAATTGACTTGTCAGAGCATAGCAACTAACTAAGAAATATAATAAGACATAACACAAACTAAAGTCAAATATTCATTTCTAAAATCACCATTTCTTTGATCTGATCCAGCATGCACTCTACAAGGTCTGCTTTGCTTTCCAAAAGCTCAGGAGCAAATTTTTCATTCATCCAGGCCTAGCAGATACAAAGTAGTGATTACTGAAAGATCACTATAACTTCCTTGTGCCATAAATGCTCTGAAATGTCCACCTCTCTAAAGATTAAGGTTAACAAGAAATCCACTGCCTTGAAACCCTGAAATCTGACATTCCTTGCTGATTGAAGAGTTAGAGGTGATGGGTATTTTGAGGTTATTGTTAGTTGCCAGTGATTAAGAGTAAAGAACATTTGAGTATCTCAAGAGGGTTTCATGTTCACTCTCCATCATCTTCTAATGGGTTGACGACACACCATAATTTTTTTATCACCACCCCCACCCCCCTCCCCCCCCACCCCAAAGATGGCAAATTTTGGGCAAAGGGGATTCACCTAAAGAAAGCCAACAAGTTTAGACCCATCAAGTATTTTTTCAGAGGTGCTGGCAAAAAAATGAACCATTCAAATTCTGGAGGAGGCGGGGGGATAAACAATGGGCGAGGCTTCCAATGAACCCCTTACATCAGTATGCACACAGTTATTTGGTTGTTTGCTGTGGTTCTTGCCTGACCAAATGTGTTGAAACGAATTATCTTAACACTGATTTTCGCGATGAATATAAAGAAGGTTTATATAGGAGCAAAGACATGTATTCGTTTCAAACAAAGCACATGTAAAGAAATCTCGAGGTGCATTGATTGTCTAAAGCCGCGGCGAGAGTTCGACTTCGTTGAAGAAACGGCCCAACTGGTATATACTGAAATTATGATCACGGTGTAAATTAAAATAAAGCAAAACCCACGATTTTAGTCGTTAAAATAGAGAATCGGTCAGCCTTATCGATAAAAAAGGGGAAACAATTACTGAAATCGATCTTACATTTTCAAGTTGAACGAGAACCTCAGCGGCAGTAACTTCAATTTCTTCATCACTCTCGTCGGCTCCTGCAGTTTCCCCGCTCAGTAAGAAATCAGGTTCTTCCCTGTGATCCATCGAAATAAGACGGAGAGGTTGCTCTTCAAGTCTTTTACAATATACTTTTAATTGAAAAATGAAGAGAACTCACAAAAATTTTGCCATGATGGAAGCAAATTTGGCGCGAGAGGCACTAGTGCCCAGGCTGGTGCAATCCGATGTGACCGAAACTGACTTAGTCTTAATTTAATAATGGCGTCGTTTTAAGGAATCTAAAGGACGGAAGAACTGATCAAACTAGAGCATTTTTAAAGCACTTTCGTCAACCATTCAGTTTTTGTTGACAACTTGCAGTTAAATTTTCAGATTGCTTTCCCACAGGCAGTTTGAAACTGACCGGGTTGTATCGGGTTGGGTCATCTTGTTGGTTGTAACCGGTAACAGTAGGTAAATCACTTGCTTTAAAATCATGGAAGGGGTGAAGAAAATTTACAACAACATTACGAAATCTCCGCGTGACGATCGCATGTACCGAGGTGTAGAACTCTGTAACAACATGAAAGTTCTTGTGATCAGTGATCCATCAACTGATAAATCTGCGGCAGCTTTGGATGTTCACATTGGTAAGATTTCCATGAAAAAGTACGACAAGCTTTACAATTGGATTTTAATTTGAAAACGTGGCTACGACAATTGCACGAAAGACACCGTAGTGGGGCTGTAGTATATAAAAAATGTCAGGTGGGGACCCATCAGAAACCGAAAAAACTGGATTTAATTTCCATAAAAGCTGAAAACTGCCATCAATGACTAGACTGAAGTTTAACAGAAGAATGTTTACCCTCTTACTAGATTTCAAGGCTTATTAGTATGAAATTCCATCGAAAAAGCATTGTACATGGCTTTTGATCAATAATGTATTATACAAGATATGTGATGAACATGGAAAAAAGATGCTTTGTATAATTATGCTCCACTAAAAGTACTCAGGAAAAAGGTGAAACAGAATCTTTGATCTTTGATTGCTGTCATTAATAATTCATTCTTGTCAGAATTCAGAATTAAATATATTTCTAAGTATAGCATTCATGCATTTCTGTATGTTCTGATTCAAATATTCTTTTAGTTTAAAATGTTTCAAACCATTTTTTTGCCTTTATTTTGAAGAAAGGTTGAAGGTTAGATTTAGTATTTTCCTGTAGTACTAGTTAGTTCGGTTGAATTTTTTTGTTCTTTTTAATTTTTTTGTTTTATTTTTGATTACTGCACATATTCTTAAATTTAAGGTAGTATGAGTGATCCATCTGAACTGCCAGGGCTTGCTCATTTCTGTGAACACATGCTGTTTTTGGGCACAAAGAAAGTAAGATATGAGCCACCAGTCTATAGTTTTATCTGTGATACCTTTTTAGGTGGAGAAATATAAACACACTCTTAATGGAAGTAACTGAAATTTTAACCTTTTAACCCTCTTGATTGACCAAGACTCAATTTCTCCTTACAATATTAGAACAATATCAAGCAGACAAGTAATGGGAAAAAGATAAATATGAATCAGGGGATTATCAGTTGATCAAATACCAAATTCTCCTAACTGACATGATAAGAATTGTTTGAAAGACAGTAAGGAGTACTAACAACAAGATCTTGGCAGTGAGAGGGTTAAGGGTTGATTTTTTATGATTTTTTGAGGTAGAGTTAGGATGATTTATAAGCAATTTAATTCCTAAATTACTACATGTAGGATTGCCAAGGGTAAATATTGCAGGAATGCAGTTGTATGAAATACAGTGTTTTCACTTATATTTATTTTGGAGGGGAGTTGGTATGTTACTGGTAATCTTAATCCTAAACTGAGTGAGGTAAAATTGCACAAAAATTAATGAAGACTTCTTTGGTGACAGTTTTTTTTTTGTTTTCTTTTTTTTTTTTGGCTCTTTAGTATCCATCGGAGAATTCATTTACTCAGGTATGAACATTAAGAAGTGTCTGATAGTATGTCAAAAACACATATGTCTCTATGACTGTGCAAAGTTTATGACAAATTTTAACAGATCTTAGCTTGGATGAACTTTATTTGTGCTTTAATGAATTTATTTGTTTTTCTTTTTTCAGAAAGTCAAAAAGAACTTTAGGGAGTTACCTTGTAATTTGAAGAAATTCACTTCAGTTCTTTTCTATTGGCCCAGAAATTTGATGTATTATAAATGTTTCAAGACATCCTTTCAAAATGTGGTGCCCAGTAATTGGAAATAATTAGGTTGGCAAATTACACATTCTTTGAAGTGACCATCAACAGGATGGAACTGATTGGATTTTGAAAACTCAATTTTTGGTTGTCTGTTATGGATACTGGTAGTAATTTTTGAATGTTGACTTGTACCTTGCAGTTTTTAAGTGAGAATGGTGGATCCTCTAATGCTTTCACTAGTGCAGAACATACAAATTTTTTCTTTGACATTAAACACGAATGTCTACAGGAAGCCTTGGATCGGTAAGTCAAGAGTAGTTTTAAGTTTTTTATAAATTATAGCAGTCATAACCAATTATTTGAGACATAATATTTTAATTTTTTTTTAAATACAATTCTTTTTTCCTTTTCTTTTTTAATTGATTGATCAGTATGTGTTACCATTTTTCATTGCAAAAAAGTGTTCTTTTATTTTTTAATGTTGCTGCCTTAACTAAGAATTATGTCATTCATTCATTAATCATGCTCATGATCATGTGGGAACATCTAAAAGCATTAGCAAATAAAATGGATTAAAGTTCCTCAACCACAATTCAAGAACATGACTTTTTAGGTTATCTCAAATGTTGCATATGTATCCCAAAGAGGTTTGTAACATGATTGGTGGCAGTTCACCGTTTTAAATGATGCATCTTCTACTCCCACGCTACTCTGTTATTAAGGAGTGTAGTAACTTCTGGTGATGGGGTTTTGTCTGATGTTAAATTTGAATTCTCTTTGATGTATGTTTGGATTACAGGTTTGCACAGTTTTTTCTATGTCCACTGTTTAATTCAGATGCAACAGAAAGAGAAGTCAATGCTGTTGACTCAGGTGAAGATGTTATTCAATAATGGAAATATATTGTTTATAGAATAAGATATTGATGATATTTATAAGCAGTAGTTTAGTATATCATAGTATATCAAATTATATTGACATTATAGTCTTGCAGTTTTAGTAGTAATTTTGTATATCATACATTGATGTGGTCCTGGTGAAAAGTCTGGATCGTTTTCAGTATCTGAGCAACTGTGCAATCTACCCCTCCCCTCCCCTAATCCAACACAAATCCTGACCAGTTGACTGTGGTTGTGTTAGGGGAGGAGTAGGTGTGCAGTTGATCAGATACTGAAAATGATCTAGACTTTTCACCTGGACCATATCAATGTATGATATACTAAATTACTAACTAAAACTGCAAGACTATAATATCAATAAAAATTTCTAGAAACCATTATGTCTGATTAATTGGATGGTTTTATTTTATTTCTCCTTTTTTAGAACACTGTAAGAATGTCTTGAGTGATTCTTGGAGACTAAACCAGTTGGACAAGTCTTCAGTCAGTCCATCCCATCCTTACAGTAAATTTGGATCAGGTACATGATTTTGAGTTGATGTAGATTTCATATTAAAATATGTATTAAAGGATTGAGTCACAATGCTACATATTTGATTGAAAAATATTTTGTTTAGGTGGCTGCCTTAGTCAGAACCACATCTATCTCTTTTCCTCTGGTTCACGGGCGTGCTAGTAACTGATACCTTTACACCTAACATCAGTATTCATATTCTCCATACTGTTCTCCATACATTTGCTAAGTTACAGACAAGGATAATTTTTGTAGTAGTCAAATGCTTCAGTCTTCAGTTGGTGATCATTTCTTTATTCTTGTTACCTTAATGTGTGATGCAGTGGTGATATTAAAAGGAGAAATTAGCTGCTGGTCACTCCAACCTATAGGTTAAAGGGATGAGGGAGTACACCAATCATGTATCACTTATGGTTTCTAAAAAGCCAGGCATCCATCGGTGTGGACTGAGGGGTGCTTTATGACAAGCCAAAACAGCTACTGGTGATTGGGAGTGGACTATGCACACTCCTTAATCCCAGATCTTTTACATTTTCATAACTGGCAAAACTAATTTGGATCTTTGTTGCAACAGGTAACAAAGTTACTCTTGACGTCAAACCAAAAGAGAATGGACTTTGTGTGCGTGATGAGTTACTGAAATTTCACAGTTCATATTACTCAGCTAATATCATGGCATTGACCATTCTAGGCAGAGGTACTGTATCACTATATATGCGTTTAGGTATAATTACAGTTAATAATTGTGAAATATTGTGTATGATATTTAACTTCCACTTTTGGAACATGCAGTGACCCATGCTTGTATCTTCCAGAGGTCAACACTGATTCATGGTCCCAGCTACATACAAAAACCTTGAGTTTGGAATGTTTTATTTTCCTATACAGTAGGAATCAGATGTCTCTGAATGCACAGATTTTTTCTTGTTTTAAAGTGGCTAACTTATTAAAACTTATTTATTGTTTTAAAAGCCACATGTACATTGATGAATTGATGCCATCAAAAATTTTTATTTGTTTCCTTGAAAATGATATCAAACTTATATCAAATTATTGCTCCACAAGCTGTGCCAATTCCTATGACATGACATATTTCCATAGCACCATCATATCCTTCTTTAAAAAGCCTCTTTGTTTCACCTCTAATGTTAGTAATGATAATCTGAGGTTGCTCTGGACCTACCCTGACTGATTTGTTGAAAAACTCCTTTGGGAATGGAAGATAAAACTTGATAATCATCTTATTGCAATTTGAAAATTGGTGATCTGTAAATTAGTTTTTAAGCTAAAATAAGGAATCGTTCAAAAGAATGTTTGGTGGTTGTCATAGTAAGGCCTCTCTTTGGGAAGGTGACCTTGCTTTAGTTTGTGATTAGTATTAATAATTTTGTATGATTACTGGCATTGAAGCTGTAAATAGAGATGTGTGGTTTATTAATCCATCTTTTTAAACAGTTAATTTGATGAAAGGAGATTATTTTGAGCACCTTAGAGCCTTATTGCATTTGGAAGATTTTTCTCTTTGTCAGAAAAAAGATAATTAATGTCCCCAAAATGTTAATATTGTGAAAGAGGTGATGTAAGTTCAAATGAGGCCCATAATTGTGTGTGAAATTAAAGAAAAAAACCTGTGCTCTTGCCTTTCTAGTGCATTGTCAGCAAGTGCTAGGAGTTTTTAGTTACTCCTTTTTAACATTGGCTAACAATTAAAAGCTAGGATACATAGATGAAAGAGATATGACTTCATTTCTTAGATTCTCTTGACGACCTGACAAACCTGGTTATAAAGCTCTTTTCAGACACAGAAGATAAAAACGTATCAATTCCAGAGTTTCATGATCATCCTTATGATGATGAGCAAGTACAGGTAAGAGATTTTTAAGTTTAGATAACACATTTTAACAAATGCTGAAAGATTCTGTATCCCAGAGGGGCAGAGAAATCTAGTGATACTAGAATCAGTTACAATGTAACAAGGAATATTTGATCTAAATTATAATTGGTGTTGCAATTATTAGCTGAGTATCTGATGATCCTACAATGTCAGATTGTTGGTTGAGTTATTGATTTGGGTCATTCTTGTTTCTTTTCATTGATGTGATTTGCCAGCTTTTACTAATACACAGTCATATTATGATTTGTTTTTCACATCACCATGAACAACATTTAGCTTTTTATCATATAAAACAAACAGATTCCATGTTGCCTTGGGTCTGTGCAGTACCTTTTGTACTAGATCGTGAAAGGCCTGGAAATGTGGTAAGAGTTTAAATTTATGAGCAACTATAAGTTTTCTCATTCATTGTGCTAATGATTGTGTGACTCTCACTCAGTTAAATATTTCCTTTCCAATCCCTGTGATCTTAATAAATTCATTGTGCCTGTCAGTAGTGATCTTAATAAAGTGCAAAATGTGAATGTTAGATTTAACAAAAATCTTTACTTAATGTTATTGGCTATGAAATTGTTTACATTGTTTGGATTGCAGCCTTGTCATTACATATCTCACCTCCTTGGTCATGAAGGTAAAGGAAGTTTGCTTTCAGAACTCAAAACCAAAGGTAAGTTTTCAAATGATGGAAGATTCTTTTAAAGGTTAACTTGACAACAGAGTGACCTGGAGTTTCAGTCAGGAATATTTCTCTGTATGATAACTTCTTACTTGGAAGAGATGAAAAAAAAAAGTGGTAAAAAAGGCAGAGTTTGAAATCTCATGTGCAGGCTGTGTTACTTGTATGTTGGTGAAATCATGCAAAAGTTTTATCAAATATTATAGTGAACAAATGGAGACAGATATCTCACACAAATTCACAGATCTTGAGGGTTCAAACCATATTGTGCTGTTTGCTAAGATGAAATCTTTGCCATCATTAATAGGCCTCTCAGCAGCTTTTACCCCAAGATCAAAGAAATGGTTCATTTATTTTGGGAAAAGCACTCAACTTATTGGTCAAACACTAAAGTGACTCTTCTTAAACAATTGTAATTATAATTTTCTCAATTACTGTTATCATGATAATCATTTTATTTTTTTCACTCTTTAATTCTACTTACCACTGCATTCAATTCACACTTCACCTGGCAGATGCTTCTGCCAACTCTCCAAATCATTACAAAGTTATTCATTTGCAATGCAAGGTTTGAAACTTTTTTGTACAAAGTATTTGTACTGGTAAAGTATTAAATCCTGTGTAACTTTTCCAAAGGGTAATTCAAGATCTTTGCTAGTGCCTTATTATCTAGACTTTGTATCTCTTTCACAAACTGTTAGATCTGTGAACTGCATCTTGTCATTTGCAGTTGTTAACCGATAACTTTCCTAATATCAGTTGGCAATTACTCCAACAGGCTGGGTGAATGAACTTGTTGCTGGAGGAGCAAGTGGAGCTAGGGGTTTTATGTTCTTTATTTGTAACATGGAACTCACATCTGAGGGACAAGGTAATCATGTTTAACTTTTATTCATGTTTGCCCTTATAATCTGTTTTTATTCTTCTGATAATTATTAATGTCAGCCTTTTTATTTGGTTATTATTTGGTTGATTTTCCTAGTATGAAGGCCTTTTAGCACTGAAATGGACACATCAAAGCTTGTAGTTACAACAGTTACTTAACATTAAAAAAATTGGAAAACATGTCACTTTTATTACATTATACTCTGGAAGATGCAATTGTTTCCAAAATTTTGAGGGTAATCCCTCAATTTTGTTATTTGTTTGGAAAGAGCTGATGGTGACACTGGACATGTCATTTAACAACAAAATAGGTTTTCAAGATTTGAAACTGAATTATAACTTTAAATTAACAATTGGTTCATACAT